ATTCTATTGGTGAGAAAGAGGAATAAATCTTCCTCAGCGATTTCTCAGTAAAAATGAAAAAACCAAAACTTTACTGTGTAAGTCCCAAATCCAGTTCCACTTCTTCATCTTTCGTGAATTCGAGCACAAGAAAATGATATCTGGTCTGTCCTTGACGAAGTGGTGGATTCAAACTGATCTGAATGAATGAATGAATCTCTGTTAAATCATTCGAAATAGCCAAGGTGATTCCGCTTACAATCAGTTCGGCTGAGAATTCTATTGCAATTGAAATGAAAAGTTGAAGTTAACCAACGCACCACAAAATACATATGACGTCCATCTTTATGTGGCAGTAGGAAGAGTCTCATTATTGTTTTGATTGGTATCTTATAATCGTACGTTTTACCGTGAAGCGACAGGTGATTCTGATAGACTTTTATATCGTAACGACCACTGAAATTTAATCGCATTCAATTTGGAAATATTATCATCATGAAGTGTTCATCAGCATCAATTAGAAACACCATATCGTTAAAGATAATTCTAATAATCAAAAAAAAAACAATAATATTAATAATTATCTTGGGAATAAAATTTACCGTGGTGTAGTACACAAAATCTGTTGCANTTTCCGAGGCTTACACAAATGTTCTCTTCAAATACAAGCAATAATGCTTAAATACAATTCCACAGAATGAATCGAATCGTTCATGATTTATCATGTTCAATAATTTTATCTGAACCAAGCCACAAATCGCAATCGCACTCCTTAAGATCAGTGTCTCACCTCAACCGGATCGACGTCCTCATCAGCATCCGGATCGGTAGGTATATGGAATCGCATCTCCATCAACGAAACCGCACAATCGTCATTCTGGTGAAATTCCAACACTGCCTCGCTTTTGCCAGACGTACAATTGCTCACATTACTCAACGGTATCTCGAAACACGGCTTATCGTCCACATCGAATTCCAGTACTTGACCTACAATAAATCAAGTCTTGCTTAGGACTTCGATGCTGACTGGAATAAGACATTCCTGAGGCGGCAATTTCATACATTCTAATGAACACGGTTGCAGTTGCGAATGACAAAAATAACCTTTCACTTCAGCTTTGCCATAATTCCATCCCTTTAGACTCTGTTCTAGTTGACTCACTTCTTTATTCCAATTCTTACTCGCGAACGCTTTGATCTTCTCGAAATCCTTCATAATACTCATCATCAATTTCATTATCAATCTATTCATACGAATAACTGTAATAATGACAACTGATGTAAATATGAATAGAACCAATTACTGACCTTATCGTGAAAACCTCCAAAACGTAAACTGGTTCCATTCGATAACGAAAACTTCAGTCCAGGTTTATTTGCAAGTCGCATCCATGCAATCGTATCAATATCCGACGATGGAATGTTTTGTAATTTACCGGTTTTTGTATTTTTGAACTGAATCTGCTGATCAGCCAATTTCACACGACCGGTATTCTAAATATTTATCGTTAGCCAAATACAATGAATT